CGTAAATATTTATTTTTGTATCAAATTGAATACATATTTGAAAAAGAAGAATTTTATATCTACACATAAAATTAATTTAAGATATTCAGGAAAGGATATTCTAAATACGTGGAATTTACTTTTTGTCTAGACATAATTTTAATTCATTTTTATTATGTTATAAGAAAACAGAAATGCATTTTTATTCAGCTTCAAAGTCATAAAAATTGTACGAAAATAATTGATAATTTGATAAGTGTCACGCTAGCGTAAGTAGTATCGTATCTGCTTCTCGCGCGGGTAGTTATCATTCGATTCTTCGTTGGGGAATTATTTTTTTTTTAAAGTTTTTCTATCGTTAAGTTATACAAATTCTTTTTACATTTCTTAATTTTTAATTATATATAGGAAATAAAATTAAAATATTACAAAAAAAATTGAAGCAATAAATTTTTTACCATCCTGCACAAATACAGGAAGATTTATTACTTGAATTACAGTTAACATTTCATTTTTTTAATATAAAAATATATTATTCTTTAATATAGTATATATAAAAATATATATATAAATATACAGGTATCGGTACACACACACACACAGTCAAAGATACAAACTGCATCTCTATTGTAGACTACTATACTACCACAACCAAAGTAATACGTATCTACAAGAAATTTCAATCCGAGTTTTTTCACAACGGCTGAATATCTACGCCTAGTTTTAAGACACAATAAATTTTCTCATGAAGTACTACAAGTGTACAAAATTTGAAAAAAAATCTGAGGTGTGGCTCACTAATCGTGTCCTTGTGAGAAGTATCGATGCAATGGAAAGTTCAGTTAAACGACCTTCGAAGTGTTGTCGACTGGCTAAGTAAACAGAAACGTTCCTAACAAAAAAAACAATTTCCTTTATTCGAAATAAATTTTTCCCGTACATTGTCTCCACCAACAGAGCCACTACAAACTTTCACCTATAGTATTGATGGAATTTGGACTTTTCTGTTATTGGATAAACAATTTAGGGAAGGGATGCCGATCATTTTCTCCCTATAAAAATCGTTGGAATAACAACACGACAGTGCATTCTACGATAGCATTACGAGAAGAGCA